GTATCATCTAAAGACATTTCCTGAGCACCTCTTCCTGTGCCAGGGAAGATAAATATCAAGGGAAGAGAGAGAGTGATGGTGCCAGTTTAGGACGTCATGGTTTTCTTCTGGAGGCTAGACCCAACTTTTTGAAAATTAATATCCAATACATGGCACTTGATAGTAAGTCCTGAATAACTGCACAGAGCCCGATGGTTCACAGATAATGCTGTATATCAGACTCAGCTGTGGGCTTGGGAAAAGATAGATTGTCAGGCTCTGTTCCTGGAAATTCTGAGTTTGGGCCTTTGCATCTGGGTTTCCTAGCAAGCTCCAAGGCCACTAAAGACTTGGTGAAGACAATAAGGGGTGGAGAGGAGTGGAGATCACTTCGGACTGGGGCCTAAGGGGAACGCCCAGCACTGATCACAGAGGTGGAAGATGCCAGTTCACAGAGCTGAAGGTCTACCAATGGGAGGACAATCTGGGTGAAGTGAGGGCCTTTAAGAGGGGGGTGGTGTCTATTGGGTAAATGCCTGGATGACCCCGTGAGAGAAGAATGATTTAGTTCCTTCACACAAGGGCGCTGATGGAGAAAGTGATGGTGTGGAGCGGCAAGTGGAGGGGAGAGGAAAGCAGGACTTGGATTTCGGTGGGGGACTCAGCTAGTGAGAAAGGAGACGGGGGTGGGTGCCTATGTTCTTTCCCCTCCCTGACTGCTCAGTAAAGCTGATTTCTGGCACAACGCAGGGTGCACTGTAAACAAAACACTAAGATTAGCCAATCCAAGTACGTCGCCCAAAGAAGCTCACTCACCCAGAGGCAGCCTGACAAATGGTCACGTAAAATACTATGCTTTTAAGAAGGTCCCTTGTATCTCTCAGGGAGTCAGTAGAATCCATTATGTCAGTTCCTATGCACTGGCTTCTTTCTCAGCTACTTAGATTTCCATTTAGTTGAAGCTTAGGCAAAGCTCACCAAGGCCCCGAAAATGAGAGTTCTCCGAGACGTGTTAGCTGTCTTTTTGACAACTACCTTTTTCATTCCGTCCACTCTGGGCCTGGTGGTTTGTCTCTGGCTTTTCACTTCCTTCGGAGACTTCCCAGTGTGAGATCCTGCTTCTGCCAGTGTTTCCACTCCTCATCCTTTGATGGCATCTTTGCCTCCACTGGTCTTCCTTCTGGTATTTGTTGTTTTGGAGGGGTGGGCAGGGTTGGGGTGGGGGAGGAGACTGGGGAATTGGAGGAGGGAAAAGAGCTGGCCTGCTCTCCCTTCCTGCTCCGTCTTGTCTCACTTCTCTCTCCTGTTGTTCTGTTTACATCCTGTTGCTTGCACACCCTTGCCAGTCTCATCTTCCTTAGACCCTATTCAGAATCACAGGGAGATGGGACAGGTATATACTGACATAGACATAAACTGACAGTGCCTTGAAAGATAAAGTTAGGGAGGAAGGAGAGACATTGGTGAGAAAGAAATGAAAGGGAGGGGATGCTGAGAAAGAGATAGGAAAGGCCAGCATAATAATAATAATCATAAT